AGCCTCTATAGGAGCGTTTGCCTGGCCAGGCCGGGGAAGTGGCTTCTGTGGTAAGCAGCCCTTCCCGTGAAATCCCATTGGTTGGATGAAGGATTCCAGGTGGGCAAGGTCGAATGTGATTAAATCATAGTTGGGGTTGTAGGAAAGCTAAAGCTATGGGGAAGAAGGCATACTGAGGCTATGAGGGGTACCTGACTATTTTTAATACCTTATGCAGGCATGAAGTTTCATTACGCAGAATTATACCACCATGTGCTTAGTTTAAAAAACTTTTTTTTCGCTCTCAGAGAAAAATACTGTGAAAGGGACTAAAATTTTATGATGATTTCCTTTGGGTAGTGGTATTTCACCTTTTAAAAAAAAAAGAGGTTTTTTTGCCAAGAACTTTTTTTTTTATATAATGAGAAAAGGATAATAAAGTTATAACATTGGTTCTGTGTCCCTGGGGAGACTGATACACAGAACCAGCCGCTGGTGTAGCTGGAGGCAGGATTGGAAAAGGAAGATTGGCATCTCAGAGGCTAGAAGGAGCTGCGAAGAACCCAGAACAGCCTGTACGGAGGGGCTGACCTAGAGCACTGAAGTAAGAGGAGACGCCCTGCGGAAGACTCCCGTAGGCAAAGACCCAGGACACTACTGACTCAGGTTCTGCTAATCCAAAGGCAAGTTCAAGCCAAAGAGAGGGAAGCGCCTGGGACGCAGATAGTACAGGGCTTGGGTTTCTTCCCGGGGCCTGGAAGGTGGGAGGGCTCCCTGGGAGGGTGGAAGTGAGGGCAAATGATCCAGAACTGTTCACGGCTCCAGGGATGGCAGCTGAAGGAGGTATAAACTGGAGAGGGAGGGATCACGGAAGTGAACAATTGGTGCCTAAAGCAAACTTTCTTGCACTTTCAACTTGTGCCAAGCTAATTGCATAAAACAGGATTACGTACCTGTAACTTACATATTCGGCATATAGTTTATACCCTAAGATTTCTTCACTATGGTAAAAATCAGCTGTGTCCTTAAAAATGATTGCCTGAGCAATAGTTACTTTCGAGCGGAGGCTGAAACAAAACAGCCTCCACTGGAAACAAAATTAAAACAAAAGTTCTGAATCTCAAGGGCATACTGTCTGGAGAAGTTAACCCTCCCCCCCCACCAGCCTTGAAGCTTGGGAGTGGAAAATTATTACTTGAGCAGTTTACATTTATTAAGCAGTTAGTTTGGAAGGCTAAGTGCTTTGAATGGATTGTCTCATTTATTCTTCCAAGGCGCCTTATGAGCTAGATACGGCTCTCTCCACGTCCAACTTAACAAACGAGGGAGTGAAAAGACATCTAGCTGGCAAAGGGCAATGCTAGGATTACCCGATCCTGAAGCCCAAATTCCTGCTATCCTACTACCCTGCATTTGTTAGTCCTGAAAATACCCTAAAGTAAGTAACAGTAAAATACTAAAATTAGTAATACCTAGGGTGAGGTTACAAAAAACCACATACAGTCATGCTGTGTTGGTAGGAATGTAAATTGGTATGATCTTTCTGAAGGACAATTTAGCAATGTCTACCAGAGAATTTTAAATGTAAGTACCCTTTTGTTTCAAAATCATGATTTCAATCACCGAGATAACGTAAGTGAAGAAAAGCAAGGTGCAGAATAGTGTGTATAGTAAGATTGCTTTTATAATAATTTTTTAAAAATACATATAGAAGATGGATTGATAGCTATGCTAGCATATAAATCCCATTTCCCCCCTGAAACACAAGAAGCTTTTAACAATAAATATCTTTGGAAAGAGTAACACAGTTATTATTTTTGTGCCATTGGGAGATATTTGGGCTTTTAAAGTTTTGTTTTCCTGTTTGCTGATTTCTTTTAAAGTTTAAGTCTTTTATTTTTTTTTTTAAAGATTTTATTTATTTATTTGACAGAGAGAGAGAACACAAGCGGGGGAGCAGAAGAGGGAGAGGGAGAAGCAGGCTGCCCGCTGAGCAAGGAGTCCGACTCGGGGCTCAGTCCATGACCCTGGGACCATGACCCGAGCTGAAGGCAGACACCCAACCAAATGAGCAACCCAAGTGCCCCAAAGTCTTCTAAATAAAAACCAAATAGCCAGCATTTACTGAGGGTTCGTCATGAGCAAGGGACTGAGCTAAACATCTTACATACACTACTTCATTATATTCTCACATGAAATGGTTAGCTCCATTTTACAGATGAGGAGTTCGAGCCTTGGACAGGTGAAATCCCTTGCTTGAGGTGCCACAGCTAAGGATGTGGGCGAGCGGCCGGTTAAATGCCTGTCTGCCTCGGTTCCGAGCCCTTGGTGCTCAACTGCCTGGCTGCGCTCTTCTAATTGGTTTTTATACTCTCATTGCCTAATAAAAGTAAGCTGGCGAACAACTGGAGTCTAATGAGATAATGTATGTGAAAATACTTTTCTAAGTATAGAGATGTTTGGGGAGGACAGAACAGGCAGCAGGAGTTGAACTTGGGCCGACCTGTCCACTGAGCCCCAGACAGTCAGGATATTGTTTTTTGAGGAAGTGATGATCAACATCTTTCTTCTCTTTTGCCTTTAAAAAACATTATAAAATGCTATTTATTCCCCCCTTCCCCCATAACACCTGATCACTGTTGAAAAATTAAAAATGTTGTGGAGAACTGAAAGTCCTTTCATAATACCTCTCACAGATACTTCATGACCCGTTTCAGGTTTTAATGGCTATGGAACTATTTTTGCACACGTTCCCACATATTTTACCTCGATGGGAGCAACTCTATATTTCTTCAGTATCTTGCTTTCTTTCAACCTTATCACATTACCCTGACCTTCTTTTCATATCAGCACTTACAAATCTTTTCTCTTTTATTTTTATTTATTTTTAAAGATTTTATTTATTTTGAGAGAGAGAGACAGCGAGAGAGGGAACACAAGCAGGGGGAGTGGGAGAGGGAGAAGCAGGCTTCCCGCTGAGCAGGGAGCCCGATGCGATGCGGGGCTCGATCCCAGGACCCCGGGATCATGACCTGAGCCGAAGGCAGACGCTTAACGACTGAGCCACCCAGGCACCCCAAATCTTTTCTCTTTTAAATACATAGCTGCATAGTATCCATTTTGCCAATGTATACACATACACACAAATTATTTTTTGAATTGTCTACTGAAGGACATTTAAGCTACTTCCAACTGTTTGCTTTCCTAACTGTAGCTGCAGCAATGAAGCCCGCTCCCAAAAAGTTTAGAGGGAGCTTCAGATGGAGTGGGACATTTGTCAACTCTGTAGCTGATAAGGGCGACCCATTAGGACTCTGTACTGGGGGTAGGGGCACGTTTAAAGAACTCTGTCCAAAACACTTTGGCCAACAGGATCAGAGATATGAGACTTGCCAACAGGTGGGACAACCTCAAAAAGGAGAGCTCCCTATTTGTGATAGTTCAGTAATAGACCAGAGACTTGCTACTATTGCTCAACCCTGATTGCTGGATCAGAAGAGGAATTTCCAGACTCCGTTTCAAGCAGGGCTGGTGCAGGGCTGTGGATCCCACCAGACAGTCTGGAGACAGCTAGAGAGGGAGATGGGCAGCAGAGCTCCAAATCAGGCAACAGCAAGTGTGGAAGGAGCAGTGACCTATGGGGGGAGCCTCCTAACTCATAGACCAACCTCTTCCAGCAGAGGGCAGTGCCTCAGATATCAGGCGGGACTCAGGCCAGCTGGAGCCAGAGCTGGGGACTTCGCTGGACAGATTGCAGCAGCCCTGAGCCGAGGAGAAGTTGAACTAAACTGTCCTTTGGATACTGTAAGTGACATTGGGGAATGCTCGTCGAAAGACACGGTGGGACTTCACACGACCGTGATTTGCCTGTTTTGTAATGTCTACCAGTTTGGGTTTGGTAATAAATCTCTTTTTATACAGCCTGGCTGTGAGGGCTTGCAACTAAGGGAATTTGGAATCAATTTAACTCGACTGGCCACCGAGTTCCTCAGGTTTCTGGGTGCATGCTTGAATCAAAAAGGAGTGACATGCCTAAAATATAACCTGGCCTTCTGGCCCTGGGGCTCTGTGGATCTGACACAAAGTATACAAATAGAAAGTTAGCGGAGGGAAAGATATGGAAGAAGTAACAATTTTATCTAAAAATAGAAACTTAGTGTTTAACACCAGTCTTTTCCTTTTGCATTTCAAGGACTATGAAGGATGACCGTTAAAACAAACTTTATCGTGGAAGAGCCAGCCATGCAAACTGCTGCGCGTGCAGCTAATGAAAGATTACAAGCAGTTAGTCTCGCAGGCCTAAACAGTTTCCAATCGACTCTTCCCTGAGTACTGCTTACCTTTCCTGCTGTGTAGTGGTTAGAATCAAATAGGGGCAAAGCTGAGTTACTGTAAGAAAGTCTGTTGCTACTCCTGTTGTTTTGGAGCCTTGTGATAAGAAAGGAAGGAGTGACTTTGGCATTTGCTGGTGGAGTCAAGCAGATTTGCCAGATGATAAAAGAACTGTGTGTTTAATTATTTGTCAGGCACGGCGATGTAAGACACATCACAAACGAAATCAGAGCAACAGTGAAGTCTGAGGGTAGTTCGCACGCGTTTCGTAGAGAAACATCAAGTGTTAGAAACACCAGCGAGGAGAATAAAGTTTCTTGGCTGCGTTACTTTCCTGGTCCCTTCTGGCCCAGGGATGTCGGGCGCTCTCCCGGAGGCCAGATGATTGCCGGCCGTCCCGCACCGGCCGACCAGCGGCGCGAGTCTCCGGGCCGCGGGGCCTCGGCGGGTTTGGCGTGGGACTGTCAGCAGCAGCGGCTGCGGGCGGGGAAGGGAAGGCCGTCGGAGCTTCTCCGAGAGGCCCTTTGCCAAGGCCGCGGCCCCGACCCGAGACCGTCCCCTGCCGTCTCGCCCGGCAGGGCGCGGCCCCAGCGCCACCCGGCTCGCCCCGGAGAGGTGGGACTTTCCCCACCGGAAGTGATCCCGGCCAGTCTCGGGGAACTGGGGCACCTCAGCCAGTGTGTCAGGGAAACCCTTCCGGGTGCGTGCTGGGGGGGGGGAGGAGGGAGAAAAAAAAAAGAGGTGGCTTCGCCCGGAGTGGCCGCCGCCGCCGCCGCCGCCGCCGGACGGCCCCCGCCCCTTTCCCCTCCGCGAGCAGCGGCGCTGGGGCGGCGGTGAGACGGAGGAGCGGGCCGCTGGCCATGGCCTTGGCGTGACGGAGCCTCCCGGGCGGCCGGGCGGGTGCGGACGGCGGGGTAAGCGGCGGCGGAGGCAGCCGGGTCCGGGCGGGAGCTGGCGGAGAGGGGGAGGGAGCGGGAGCGGGCGGCGGCCGGGGGGGGGGCGGCGGGTAACGCGCCCCCCTCTCCCCCCCCACAGGCCGGACGACGCCCGCGGGAGCCGCGGCCCAGAGACCCGCCCGGGCGGCAGTGACTGGAGCCGAGCCCACAGGCCTGGGCCGGCTCGGCGGCGCGAGCAGGAAGCGGGGTCCCTGGGCCCCTTTGTGTGAAGGGCGGGGGAGGGGTGCCGGGCCGCCCCTGGCCGCGGGGGCCCCCAGTTCTGCGGCCCCCACCGCTTCTCTCGGGGGCGCGGCGCGTCTCCCCACCCCGCCTCTCCGGGCTTGCCCTCCTCCCCACGCCCCCTGCCTGGGCTTCGGTTCCTATAGGAAGGGCATCACCATCTCATCCCCACCCACCCGACACTTGGCTCTTTCCCCTCCCCCTCCCTTAACTTCCTCTTCTTCCCCCGTTGGGCCCTCTGCCTCTCCGCACTCTCCTCCCCAGTTCGCAGATTTCCGCCCACCTTCCGCCTCCCCGAGCCGCCGCGGCTAGCGGGGTGTTCTTTTTCCCTCCCTCTGGTAGGAGTTGCTGAAGGTGAGACTCATGAGGGAATACAAGGTAGTGGTGTTAGGGAGCGGAGGGGTTGGCAAATCTGCCCTTACGGTGCAGTTTGTCACTGGGACTTTCATTGAGAAATATGACCCCACCATTGAAGATTTCTACCGCAAAGAGATCGAAGTGGACTCTTCCCCCTCCGTGCTGGAAATTCTGGACACCGCAGGAACTGAGCAGTTTGCCTCCATGAGAGATCTCTACATCAAAAACGGCCAAGGTTTCATCCTGGTTTATAGCCTGGTTAATCAACAGTCTTTCCAGGTAACCATACCGAGTCTTGTAATTTGTTAGAAGGGGGTGTGGTAATCCCACATTTACTTCTGGTGTGCTTGAACCGTGCCTTAATGACTATGTTTTGCTTCTGAAAGTTAGACATGGCGCATTTTTGAGGTTACTTCTGGCACGGAAAAGTACCGGGTTGTTTCTATAGAGTCTACAGTAACAACCGTCAACAAATATTTTAAAGTTATTTTTGAGTCAAAGAAAAGTGAGAACGAAATGGGGCAGTCTGTGTATATTTAGCTTGGAAGGGAACCTTCTGAAGTTGCTTGTTCGATTCAACAAGTATTGATTAATGTACTTACCAGAACAACATTTAACAGAGAATCTCAGGTAAATAGAGCACTTTGCAGAGAAAGTTATTTGGAGCCGGTATCTGTAACTCCTCTGTGTCTGCTTTCCCCACCTCTTCCTCTGTGTTCTCTCACCCAAGTTCCTCAACCAGATTCATAAATCTTAGTGTTACAAGATGAAGAACTCAAGACCTGCCTTCTAGGCATTTTACTTACTTCGGGGCGGGTGAAGGAAAGTTACTAATTGAAAAGACTAGTACCTAGAATTAATAACCGACAAAAAGCTACAGCGACTCTCCTCTTCTGCAGCTGATCCAAGTTGTTTCTGATAACACCGACTATATTTATACAAAATATGTGGATCAGGGAACACCGGGCAAGTGCAAATTTCTAACCCTGGCTGGGTGGCCAAGCTGGAGGTGGTCCAGTTTCTTCCGAAAATCTGTCCTGTCCTTCACTGGGAGACCGACTGAAGGCTTAACATTATTTTAAGAGATGCAGTAAATGTTGCTATTTATTCCTTGAAAATAAATAACCTCATATTGACCCATTGTATTGACCTCCATTGATTTAGGAAATGGATAGTTTTTCTGCATTTAAAGGTATGTGCTTAATGTTGCTTGCTTAAGAGACATTAAGTGCTTCAGCGAATACAATGTGCTAATTCCACTTTTCTTAGTATTTAAATTACAGTGCTCTAGTGAAGTTTTCCAGTAACCACATAGAGCAACTTCAGGATTTTTTTTTTCTCTTTAAGATATAATAAGTATAGTGACCAAACTAAAGTACATTTTATGTGGGCTTGAATTGCAAAGCAATGATAGTATCATAAAAGCATTTTCCCCCAGAAAGTACCAAAGGTGCTATTTGACAGGCATTTTCTTTCTAAAGGATCCTCGAGAGATTTGTTATTCTATTAGCTGACTCTCTTGAGGCTGGAAGTCCTTTGAAGGGTTTTTCATATGATTTCCATTATATCTGCTTCTGTTACAGGCATAAATAGGGAGTGAAAAACTGCCATTATTTCAACGGAGACTTAAACTCTTTCAAGCCCAACTGTCATAAATTTGGTTTCTCATTTGAACTTGTGTTTCCATAAGGACACAGGGAAAAAGAGCTTAACCTAGAAGACCAAACTGATACACGATCAAACAAAATCGTTGCAAACATCAAATAATGATGGGTTCATAAATTTTCACAGTCCTCTGTTTTTCCTTCATCCCGCAAGCGAATGTTCCATTCACTGTTAACTATTCAAATTAAACACGTTTGATATTTAAGTCAAACCTTTTAAGTTACGAAACATTTAAAGAATGGAAACTTAGTATTAAATCTATAAAATTGCCTTAAAGCGACCCTTCCTCCCCTCCCCCAAAGTTGATGCCACCTGAGAATCGCCAGGGCTCTTATCTTTTATCATGAATTGTAATTAGAAAAAATAATACACTTGGGAGAAAATTGACGCTGTAAAACATAACTAGGCAAAGGGAAGTATGTCTTCCCGCCCAGACTGCTCCTCGGTGCATTTGTCCCTCCCAGGAGGTGCTCACTGTTAGATTAGTTTCTAGTGTATTTTAAGGTGTCTGATTTTACTGGGATGAAGGCCTACTATTAAATTTAAAATTAAACATTTAAGTGTATAAATCTGTTTTGAACTGGTCTTTGAGACATGACACGGTGTTTTTGTTCCCACCTGAAACACTTTCTCTCAGGCACTCTTGCTAAATGGCTAGGAATGCATGGATGCCGCAAGCCTTGCTGGGATAACAGGTGTTTGCAGGAGTGCTGACAAGCTGGCAGGTTTAAGGAGATAGCCGAACATCCTCATACACAAATGGATTCACCAGAATTGGGAACTTACTTTTTAAATCGGTACAGACCAGGGGAAAGAAGTATGAGTCCTAAGGTTCATGTGCAGCCTACATTTTATATTCTTGACAGAAACCCAGCAGGTGGGATCTGTGGAAATGATCGAGTTCCTACTTGGGTGGAGAAAATGTTTATTTTCTCCATTTGGGTGTATGGTTTTCTTTTGGATTCAGCTTTCTGTACTCCCCGAGGGATGACTTCTTGTGATATTGTAATGCTCCTGTTATGGTCATGCAAACAGCATATTTTTTTTCTCTTTGTGATTGTTTGAATAGGATATCAAGCCCATGAGAGATCAGATTGTCAGAGTGAAGAGATACGAAAAAGTCCCACTAATCCTAGTAGGAAATAAAGTGGATCTGGAACCAGAAAGAGAGGTTATGTCTTCAGAAGGCAGAGCCCTGGCTCAGGAATGGGGCTGCCCTTTCATGGAAACATCGGCAAAAAGTAAATCAATGGTGGATGAACTTTTTGCTGAGATCGTCAGGCAAATGAACTATTCGTCCCTGCCCGAGAAGCAAGATCAGTGTTGTACAACTTGCGTTGTCCAGTAAAAAAAAAAGAACCTCAATCATGGCCATACCGAGCAGGTTAGTTGTTGATGGAACCTCATGAGTCCTGAGAGTGTTTTGGTTTTGATCGAGTATAACAAAAAGCTGGTTAATATTAATACACGTTGTGCTACCTTCAGTTTCCTTGTTTGTTCTTAAAGTAATATTTCCCTTAGCACAAAATAGTCAACATTCAATGAAGAAAAAAAAAAGACATAAGCAAAAGGAAGGTAAGAAATTGCCTGTATTCCTGTCACTAAGATTTATTTTTAAAAGTGAATTATTGTTCTCTCTGCTTCATCGATAACATTACTTTGGGGTGGAGTGAGTTAAAGGATAATACACCTCTCCCCTGTTCTGGTGATTTCGCATCCAATAAAAATTTCAGAAGATGAATGGTTTTATGTTTTCTACACTTTTCTGTCCCGGGCTAGAGAGCTGCTGTAATTGAAATCATCAATTTACTAATCACCCAAGTGCTTGATTTAACAGGATGATTATTTAATCAAGTTCGTCTGTACCTTGCACTTGAGGGACTTAAGTGACCTCTGATAATAACAAATTGTAGTGCCACAGCGTACCTTGACTTCATTATGAATATATGGTCCAAATGAGAATCGGGGAAAATCATCTGTGATGTGTTAGAAGAGACACACCCAAGCCCAGGCAACAGTTTTATTCGGTTTAGTAAATAATGGAGTTAGTGAGAACAATAACAAAACCTTCACACCTTCCATTGAGTTGAATGATAACTTCATAAAAGTTTTTTCAAATGAATTAGTTTTTTTTTAATCTTTTTTTTTTAAAGATGTTTATTTATTTATTTGACAGAGAGATAGCAAGAGCAGGAACACAAGCAGGGGGAGTGGGAGAGGGAGAAGCAGGCTTCCCGCTGAGCAGGGAGCCCGACGCGGGACTCGATCCCAGGACCCTGGGATCATGACCTGAGCCGAAGGCAGACGCTTAAAGACTGAGCCACCCAGGCACCCCTCAAATGAATGAGTTTTTTAAAAAGCAAGGTTATATAAGACTTATTGAGCATTTTAAGTGGGATTCTTTTCATATCATGATCTTTTAATCTAGATTATAATTGGGCAGATGGTCTCACTTAGACAATAACCCTTACATAACAAGATAAAACAACCAATATCCTGGATGACTGAGAAACCACAGCAAATGGCAGACTAGCCTGACAATCTCAGGAATGGAATTGATTGTTTTGAGCCAAGACTGACCTCAAGTCTAGGAGGCAGTGTTGCAAATGGCAACAGGCATTTCAGATTGCAGTGATGATTCCTAATCAAGGGTCTGGCTCTATATGTGCTCCCTGGAGTAAAGACTAACAGTCCCTGATTTATCTTTTCGGACAAGATCTTCTGTCAGGGAGTGTCTGTCCCTTTTGAAAATGAAGGATGACAACAGTGCTTTATTCAAAATGCTTTCACGCGTCAGCTTTTTTTTAGCACGCCAGAATATGATGAGAACACACTTATTTTCTAATCCCTGGCTACTACATCTGTTACGGCATCACTGTTGAGACCACACTCCAGTCTGCGTTTGGTTGATAGCGTCACCCTTGCAGTATAGTTTTTTGAAGCAGGAACAGGTGTGATGTAGATGATCCAGTGCCGTGTTCATGTTTCCCTAATCTCTTCACTTGTAAGCCAGTTTCAGGTTTGAACAAGTTCTGGGTGGTGATTGCATCTTTACCATTACGCTCTCTTTCTCTCTCTGACACTTTTAACTGGGGAAGTGACATAAATGTACATGTTTTAGTGTTGTCATCTTTATAAAAAATTAACCAGCTCCCACAAAATGTTCCCAGTTTTCTTTCCATCATTAATGTAGACAGCTACAGGAAGTAAACTGAATAAAATTCAGATTGGCAGATGGACAGCTTCCAAAGCGATTTTTAAATCTCTGAGTTCTCTCTGCATTTATTTCATGTTGCAGTTTGTGTGATCTAAATTACTTTTAATCCATTTGGTTACCTGTGGGATTGATTAAATAGAATTGCTTTATATCTCAAGCCAACTATGTTTATGTTTTTTTTGCTAATGTACTAAAAATCAGAAAATATTAATACCAATAATTGCTCATTTCTTTATAATAATAATAATAGGTCAAGCTGCCTGTGTAGTTTTTTGTTTGGTTTTCATTGTTGCAAGCAGAATACGCATTGGAGGTGTGAGCATTGAAATAAAATAAGCAGCTGAATGTCTGCAAATATTAAAGGAAATTTCCTGACCGAGATCTTTTAGAACAAAGCACACTACACTTTTCTGACATCACATAAGATGGAATTGATGTGTATGGGAATCTATAACCTGAGGCCTGTAAAAGCTCGTGGTTGTGCTTGCTTACTTACTATTTATCTACAAAAACAGGTGATGGATTCTGAATCCCGTAGCTTGAGCCACGGAGCTTTGAAGTCTGTCAGTCCCAGATCTAGACAGAACATCAAACTCTGACAAGTAAAGGTGATTTGAGAAATGCTGGTCCTTAATACTTAGAAGAGTACCTTTGTCCAAGTGAGAAATGATAAGCTTCAGATAAGTCAGAAAACTGTTGGGATTGTAGTAAGTTGGTTGCCCTTTATCGAAAGGGGACATTTTAATGCTCTAAGAATCGCTTCTGATAATTGCTCACATTTATTTCTTAGCACCCTTCAATGTGGGTCGCCGATCTCTTGCCCAACACCTGTTAATCTGCATGGCTTCCCAGGATCGTTGCTTCACCTCTCACCCTCCCACTGGCCGTAGTCTTAGTGTGAGTTTTGAAGCCCAGATTCTTTACGCGCTGTTTTCACGGCAGCTTTCCTCACTGACCCGAGGAGCCTGCCATCGAGGGCCTTGGCAGATTGCTTTCCTGCACAGCAGCAGGATAATAGAAACCCAGGCCAGTGCTGCAGGCCTGGTTTGCTTTTACCAGCTATATCATAGCTCCTCTGTATATTGGTGGAAATAATTGACAATTGGCTCTTTTGGTATACTGTTGTGGAGACTGAGGGGTGTTTTGTTAACCATCTCATAATACTATAAAACAAGTAAATCACAGTGCTGTGGGCAATCAGGGAAAGGAGAGACCACGTCCAGTTAGAGCCGACTTCTCAATACTCTGGGCTCTTGGTTATGGGGGTTGAGCAGCGTCCCTGGCCCCTACTTCCTAGATAGATGTCAGCAGCAGTCTCCCGCCCCCTACTTCTCACAAACAAGGGTATCTCCAGACATTGCCTAATGGCTCCTAGGAGGCAAAACCACCCCTGGCTAAGAACCACTGACTTCGAGGAATTGGGGAATAGTAACATTTGAGTCTGGTCTTGAAGAATGGGTAGGATGTGAAGGGGTGGGGGAGGAGTAGAGTTGATTTCCAAACAGAGGGAATGCCAAAAAGGAGCAAAATAATATCCCTAAATTAGTAGTCTCTTGGTTCCCTGAAAGGCAGGTGGGAAGTGCAGTAGTTATCCTTCAGATGTGACTGGTAAATACCCTTTTGACAAATAGAATTATTTAAAAGGTTATTTCTGAAGGATTTCTGTATCTCAGTCCAGTATTGATGAAAGTTATAAAAAAAAAACAACAAACCTAGAATAAAAAAGGTGTTCTTCACTACAGTTTGAAGGGCTCCTGCAAGATTTTATCCTATTTTTCTCCGTGTATTATGGAACGGGTTCTCCCAACGAGAGTAAATGGTGCATAAGAGTACCAAACACCAGCAATCAAACTGAAAGAACAAAGATCATTATTTATGTCAGCCTCAGTTCATTATATATGTCAGCCTGAAGAAAAAGCGAGATTCTTGATTCAAGACCAGCACATCATTTCACGTGGCAGCAGAATGCCCGGGATGTTAACAAAGGCTCCTGAAAGGCTGAACCATCTATGAACGTCATTTTAGTCTAGCTGGCCTTACCATTTCTAAACACAGTGGAATTGATTAGCATTTTCAGGGTTTTTTTTTTTTTTTTTTAAATACGTGGAATCAGAATTGTTTCTAATCTTTTGTCCTCCGGCTTTTAATTAGATATGATGTGCGGAGGATTTAGCTAACGGAAAAGGGAAAATCATGAAAATTAAATCACATCGTGTACTTTAAAATGCTGGCATTTTCATATCCAAGTTAAATATTAATCCTATCAGTGAAACACTGGGGTGGAATTCTGTTGCAGAAGTTACAGTTTAGATACTTCTTTTTTTTTTCCCTTGCCCTGTTTTGCATATCACCTTGAGTAGGGAAAATAGCTTATTTTAAATGCTCATTTGTCATCCAGTTCACATGGTGAGCCAAAATAGAGCCTGTGGCATGGCGGCCCTGGATGGAACAGGGGTATGTTTTAGGGGTAGTATGTACCGTAAAGATCTGCAATACCGGGGGTATAAAAGGGTCCTTTCTGCACCCGCCTAATTTTCCCAGACCTTCACTGACCACCCCCCCCACCCCCACCCCCCGCCTTCCTTGCCAAAAGATTCATGGTCTGGGACTGTTCAGAGTGAATAGGTGCCTAGTTAGACCTGCTCTGGGTGGGAGGTGTCTGTGATTAGAATCACTCTTTGTATATCTGTTCCCTCTTTAATTGCTTCCTTTTAACCTCAAGATTAGGCTTTTATTGCAGAATGAAATGCATATGAGCCATTCAGTTTTACTCCATTACCTCTCTGGCTTAGAATGAACCATCAGTAGAATTAACAAAAATTGCATCATAGAGTTGGAGAGTTGCCACCGAGGAAGTATTCTAGCCATACTACAGGAAAGATTCTCGTGGGATTACTTCTCAGTGGAATTCGAAAATCCAGAAGATAATATCACTAAGAAAAACTTAAGTCCTGTCAGCTGTTGGAAAAACTTACCCTACCAAAAACCATACTCCCAAATTCTTTTGATTAGCCACAGCTTTAGGAACATGGGATTCAGAAAAAGCGATTTAGAGTTGAGGGGAGCAGTACCCTACCTGGTCTGATTCGAAGCTAGCAGCTGGAATCCGATCATTGGGTTCATACTCTGCTTCTCAGTGGACATGGTCATACACACCTGAGATCTCA